AATAATAATAATAATAATAATAATAATAATAATAATAATAATAATAATACATAATAATAATATTAATAATATAATAATATAATTAATAATCATAAAATAATAATAATAATATAATAATAATATAATAATGATAAATGATAATGTAAAATAATTAATAATAATAAATAATAATAATAATTTAATAATAATAATTAATAATAATGATAGAACAATATAATAATGACAATGATTAATAATGACAATGATAATAATAATGCATGATAATAATGAATAGCAATAATGATAATAATAGAATGATAATCAATAGTAATAATGATAATAATAGTAATAATGATAATAATAGTAATGATAATACTACTAATAATAAGGATAATGATGATAATAATAATCATCATCAACATCATAATACTAGCAAACATTGTAATGATAATAATGATGGTGCTATCATAATGATAACATTGTTAATGATAATAATGATACTACTTCTAATAATGACAATAGCAATAATAATGATAATCATACCAATAGAAATAATGATAGCAATAACAATAACAATCACAATGATAATGAACATATTGATAAAGATGATAATGATAATTATAATAATAAATATACAACAATAGTAGTAATATATCATGAAAAAAGTAACAGCAACAACAAACTATCATAATCATGATAATGATAGTAATAATAATATTGATGATAATAGAAATGATAATATCAATAATAATGATACTGATAATAGTTATTATAGAAAGTAATAATAATGATAATAATAATAATGATAATAATAATAATGATAATAATAATAATAATAATAAATAACAAATAATATGATACTACTACTACTACTACTACGAATAATAATATAATAATAATATATAACAATGACAATAATAATAATAATAGTAATAATAATGATAATAATAATAACAATAATAACAATGATAATGATAACAATAGACAATAGTAATATGAAATGATGTATAATAAGAGAATGATAATGAGATGATTAGATGATGATGATATTGAAAATTAAATTATTATTAGTAGTAATGATAATGATAATAATAAATAACAATAGCAACAATAACAATAACAATAATTAACAAAAATAAAAATAAAAATAATGATAATATAAATGATAAAATGAATAAGATAATGAATAAACAATATAATAATGATTAATAATTATCAATGAATTATGATATAATAATTATATATATAATAATAGTAATAATAATAGTAAATAATAGTAATAACAATAATGATAATGATAATATAAAAAATAGCATAGTAAAAAATTAATTATGATAATAATAATAATAATATAATAAATAGTGATGATGAGGTGATGATGATGATAATTTAATGATGGTCTAGATTTATCATTATTACTATTATCATCATTATGATACTAAGATAGTAATGATGAATGATGAAAATAATAATAATGAGGAGGGGATAATGATAATTTATAACATTTACATATTCATTACATTTGTTATTATCATCACCAATATCCATAATATATGTGATGATGGTGATATTGATGAAAAATAATAATAACAATAGTAATTGATGATGTTAAGGATAATAATAACTAATAATGATAATGTACTACTACTACTCTTACTACACTACTACTACTACTACTACTACTACTTACTATACTACTTACTACTACTACTACTAACTACTAATGATAATAATAATAATAATAATAATAATAATATAATAAATCTATATAATAATAATAAACTTAATACAACAAATGATAATAATGATTAATAATAAATAATTAATGATGATAATTTAATGATATATAAATGATTACATTATATGCATAATGATTAAAATATATAATGATAATAATGGATATATTAACTATAATAATCATACTGATAATCTCATAATAATAATAATAATAATAATAATAATAATAATTCATTATATACTATATACATCAATTAATTAGATCTTAATATGATATAGATATATGCAACAAAATATAATGATCGATGAAAAATATCATTACAAATGAAATAATAATGATAATAATAACCAATAGACTGATCTTATCATTATAATCTAATTTTTTTATCCAATAACTAAATTGGAATAATATAATAATCTAATATTATCAATAATAATAATCCATAAATAATAATAATAATATAATACATAATAAATAATATATAATAACAATAATAATATAATAATTAATAACAACAAATGAACAATAAATGATAGATATTTTCTCAATAATAATTTCCTACTAATTTGATCACACTCATTTAAATATAATAAAATAATTTCAACTAATCTAATAAATAATACATAATAATAGATCACTCATTATTATATAATGATAACTCATCTCTCATAATGACTCTCTAAGTAATAATACATCTAATAATACATACATAATAATTCAATATACTACATAATAATAATGATCCTCAATAATAATAATAATTTCATAATACATATAATAATTTAATAATGATAAATATGAATACATGCAATAATTCTCGATAATTGACTATCAGCCCATCAACAACTGACTAACTTCAATATTGATAAATAATAATACACATCATTTATTAACTTCTCGATAATAACTGCATATCATCTTTTATTTATTCTCGACTATTATAACCATAATTCCATAACTAATAATAAGAATATAATCACACTTAATATAATTTCAATCACATCAATAATAACTCAATAATAATACCACTCAATAACTCCTAATAATAATAAATAAATGAATCACATACAGGGGGGAATTAATTCACACTCAATAATATTTTAAATAATAATAGGAGGATCATTATTAATATATAATAATATAGTCATAAACTCAGGGATATAGGGGCGGAATTTATTACATAAAAATAAGGATATTTATGACAATACATAATATAATGATAATAATCAATACATGTAAGTAATAATATAAATACTCGAATTTAAATTAGAAATGAACAATAATAATAATAATAATAATAATGATCGATCCAATAGTGAATCAACATTGGAATAACAATAATAGATGGAAATAGTAATAATCAGGTCGCATTTTGTAGTATTTTAGATGAATACTGGATAATGATTAAATATAATTAATAATGAAGTTACTGAAGATAAGTAAGAGTGAGATAGTGGAAGTGAGAATAGGAGTGGAGAATAGAGGATAAATGTATGAGATGATAGAGTAAAGAGGAGGGGGAGATTGTGAATGAGGAGTGAATAAGTAAGTAGGTGGGAAGTAAATTAATTAGTGAGGAGAGATGAATAATAGGAGTAGATAGGGAGACATAATGGAATAATTGGGGGTGAGATAATAGGAAGTAATGGGATGAATAAGTAATAGGTATTTGGGAATGGAAGAGTAAAGATCGAGTAGGGTTAAAATGTGGTAGGATAGTATCGTTGGAAGTAGAGTGGATGAGATCGAGATGAGAAGTGGGATAAGATAAAGTAGGAAGTTAGATTGAATAAATAGACGGGTCAGTAGAGATGATGGAATGAATGGGTTAAGGAGACAGTGAATGAGAGTGAGTGAGAGAGGAGATGATGAATTGAGGGAGATAATGAAGGTAAGTAGAGTTAGTATAAGTGTAAAGTGGATGAAATGGATGATAAGTGGAGTGAGATTATAATTGAATAGTGAACTAGTAGTTGTTAGATTAGACGGAGTAAATAGCTAGATAATGGGTAAGAGAGAAATTAGAGTGATAATGCCTAATATCATTAACATAGGGTATTGGAGTTATTAGTTAGCATCATTAGTTGGGTCCTTTAATTATGAGATGTGATTGCGCTTACTGGTATTACTATTATCATGTGTTATATCATCAATCATGCAATATTAGTCCTATCATCATCATCAATGTTATTACTCATTACTAGGTCATCGTCCATCTATCATTATTGTTATGTCATCGGGGATTATGCAGTATTATCTATATGTATTATCAGGACTGATCGTTATGGTGGTCATGCATTTTCTATTATAGATGCATTATCAATTATCGGTTGAGTAGTAAATAGGGGTAAGTGGAATAGGGATATAGATTCTTATAGTAAGGTCAGTTACTGCTATTACTTACTGACTGAATTCTAATCATCATCAATATCATCATCATTATTACCATTATCATTATTGCATCTTTATTCTGATTATCAGATATATCATAGCTAGTACTATTATATTATTATTTGACAACCATACCTTATGCCTCACTATTACCACAGTACACTAACACCTCATACTAATACCACACACGCATACACACACAAACACAGCACTCACAAGCAACACACACACACACACACATACATATACACACACATCCCACACACGCATACACATCACACACACACACACCATCACCACCCACTCCACACACCACACACCACATGACACTCACGTCACATCACATCACTACATCACCCACCACACACAAACAAACGCCATTATTAAGAGAAATTTTAAAAGCACATCACACCAATATTCACATTTTACCTTGCACGGGAAACGCGACTTTTCAACTCCCCAAAACGATGGCTTTTCTCGCACCTCTCGTCTCACACGCTTTCGAGAACCAGCTAAATTAAGACCTCGAATACACGTCCTCGTCACTTTGGCTTTTTATTTTTAGCCCTCGTGACACGTTTACACCGAGTGCTGATCGTAAAATATAATAAGAATATCAATGAGTCTTGTTTTTTCCTATTTTTTTTCCACACAAGCGATCGACAATCTCCTCCATATTTTAGAAGGAGGGAGGAGGGGGTCTGCAGCTTCGGGTAATACCCCGGCTATTTTCTATTTACGAAAAAAGATCTACAAAGAACACAAAAAAGGACAAGACATTCTCCTCTTAATAACAGCCTCACATCAGCCCATTCATGAGGCCTGCAAACAACCCATGAGACAGCGCCCAACACATCCCACGCCCTCGAGAACCCCATACACACGCACACAC